TTTAAAAATATATTTTATTGATTTTGTACAGAGAGGAAGGGAGAGAGACAGAGAGTTAGAAACATCAATGAGAGAGAGTCATCGATCAGCCGCCTCTTGCACACTTCCTACTGGGGATATGCCCACAACCAAGGTACATGCCCTTGACCGGAATTGAACCCGGGACCCTTAAGTCCCCAAGCTGACGCTCTATCCATTGAGCCAAACTGGTTTTGGCTCTCATTTAATTTTTAATATGGTAAGTATTGGTAGTTATAACTCTCATTAACAAAAGCTCTTGGGAGTCCTCAATTTTGAGAACACAAAGGAGTCCTGATACTAAAAAGTTTGAGAACTGTTTTGTTTTTTTTTTAGGGAAAGAGGCTAGATCCATCAAATGGGTAACATTCTAGACTTTAATCTGTTGCATATTTCTTTGGAATATGGAGTACATGCCTCTAGTTTCTTTTCTTGGTTGCAAGGACTTTTATATTATTAACCAAATGGGCAGAAGATTCCTGTATTTGTTTCAAAGATTTTTATTTCTGTTTAACATAGATATGGTTGCTCTCCAGAACTGAGATTTGGTTAATGGTTATTCCAGTCAGCATATTCATTCTTGTTACCATTCTTGACTGTGAGCTATTCATGAAGTTTTCTGAGCTGTTTAGCAAGGCAAACTACTTTAGGATTCTAGTGAAATTTCACTTTGCTGAAAATGATACCATTTTCTCTGAAATCTTTACATTAGGCTTAATCTATCTGCTGTTAGAGTCTTTTTGCTAGTCATAGTGATTTTCTAGCCAGTTTACAATTTATGAATGTATTTGTGAATTAGTTATTTGCAACAGTATGATATGAATTACAGACAGGTTCTTTTTAAAAAATATATATTTTATTGATTTTTTACAGAGAGGAAGAGAGGGATAGAGAGTTAGAAACATCAATGAGAATCATCGATTGGCTGCCTCTTGCACACCCCCTACTGGGGATGTGCCCGCAACCAAGGTACATGCTCTTGACCGGCAGACCGACTCTCTACCACTGAGCCAAACTGGTTTCGGCCAGACAGGTTCTATAGTGCCATTAATAGTATGGGCATAGTCTCATTGTGGACTGTTAACATCTTCCTGTCGAGAATTATATTTTAACTCCTAGAAATCTGGTCCAATACATTTCCCCATTGTAGGGCCATGGTGGCAAGAAACTCCCCTCTCTTTTTACAATAGAAAAAAAGAGAGTTAAAGTTTTAATAAAATCAAGAGATACCTAATTCTCAAGCTATGCTCAAAAGACACAGGTATCTTAGGCACTCCAGGTGGGAAGAGGATGGTGGGGAACTCTCAGCTGGAGCAGGGATATTTGGTATATTTGGTATATTTAGCAAAGGTTGGAAAAAAAAAGAAAGAAAAGGTATTCTCCTTGGAGGTGATATATTCTCTTTTGGGGCAATTGTTAAAAAGTAAAAGATGTTTTAAGATGGGTAGTCCTAGGTTTGGAAATTCATCTATATAGGGTTCTGTTTTGTTGTGCTCTTATGTGTGGGTATTGTATAATATGAGCTGAGCTCAAGAAACAGAATGACAGGCCAATTGAGAAGGTTGACCTTACAGATTTATGGGTCAAAAGTTTGAACATAGAAGGAAATTGATCAACTCCAGGGGCAGTCATGATCAGGAAAAGTAATGGAGCCAGGAGAGTGTTGGAATATGCAAATTGATCATAAGGGCCCTAAACAAATTCACCTCACAGGTGACAGCTGGCACAGTTCAGTCCAAGAATGCTGTGTTTCAGCCTGCTGTTCTAGGGTCTCTCGCAGGAAATAGACTTTTAAGATTGGTATCCAGTACAGGAAGTCTGTTCCGAGAAATGGTTGCTATTCAGCAGAAATACAGAACCAGGAGGACTAGGGGGACACAGAAGAGGCCAACAGTGGAGAATTAGACTTTGACCTGAGGCTGAGCTCCTTGTCTTCTTTCTGCCCAAGGGCAGTATTTACCCCTCCAGGCGTCTTCAAACTACGGAGGCCCGCAGAGGAGTCTGATCCGGCCCACCAGGTTTTTCAGGCAGTGAGCGCAGCCGAGGTGTTACAGTAGGAATTAGTAGTTCATATAGTCCGGCCCTCCAGCTCTCTGAGGGACCGTGATCTGGCCCCCACTTTAAAAAGTTTGAGGACCCCTGCCTTAGACTGAGGCAAGGCTGAGCTAAAGTAGAAAGTATAGTGACTATAGTTGTCCGGTGGAGTGACAGGCTTACCCAAGAAATAAAGTGATGTGTCGCTTACATTTTGAGAAATAAGTTGGGATATATTCTGAGAAATGACTCATTAGGCAATTCCATTGTTGTGTGAACATCATAGAGTGCACTTGTACAAACCTAGGTGGTCTAGCCTGTTACACACCGAGGTTCTGTGGTCTAGTCTGTTGTTCCTAAGCTACAAGTTTGTACAGCATGTTACTGTACTGAATACTGTAGGCATTTGTAATATGGTGGGAAGTATTTGTGCATAAGCATACCTAAACACATGAAACAATAAAAATATATGAAAGAAAAAAGGGGCATACCTAATAGGACACTTACCATGAATGGAGGTTGCAGGACTAGAAGTTACTTTGGGTAAGTCATTGAGTGAGTGGTGAGTGAATGTGAAGGCTTAAGATATTACTATATACTACTGTAGACTTTATAAACATTGCCCACTAAATTTATTAAAATATTTTTCTTTAACCTGACCATTTATTTATTTAACCATTTATTTAAAATATTTTAAATTAACCTGAGCTTACTGTAACTTTTTAATATAAACTTTCATTTATTTTTAAATATGTTTATGTTTTTATTGATTTTTAGATAGAGAGGAAGGGAGAGGGAAAGATAGAAACATCGATGAGAGAGACATCCATGGGCTACCCCTTGCACACCCTCTACTGGGGAACAGGCCAGCAACTCGGGATCAAACTTGGAATAGAATTTGGGATCGCTTGTCCATGGGATGATGCTCAATCCACTGAGCCACACCAACCAGCTTAACTTATATACTTCTAAATTTTAACTTTATCACTCTTTTGTAATAACAGCTTAAAACACAAATGTATTATAAACTTATACAAATATATTTTCATTATATTCTTATTTTTTAAACTTTATATTTAACATTTTTTATTTTGATTCTTTACTTTTTAAGCATTAAAAAACAAAAAAACAAAAAAAAACTAATACACACACATTAGCTTAGACCAGTGGTTGGCAAACTCATTAGTCAACAGAGCCAAATATCAACAATGCACCGAAACTGGTTTGGCTCAGTGGATAGAGTGTCAGCCTGCGGACTGAAAGGTCCCAGGTTCGATTCCGGTTAAGGGCATGTACCTTGGTTGCGGGCACATCCCAAGCAGGGGGTGTGCAGGATGCAGCTGATCGATGTTTCTTTCTCATTGATGTGACGTTTCTACCTCTCTATCTCTCTCCCTTCCTGTCTGTAAAAAAATCAATACTAAAATATATTTTAAAAATTTATCAACAATACAACGATTAACATTTTTTTGAGAGCCAAATTTTTTAAACTTCTAATGCCACTTCTTCAAAATAGACTCACCCAGGCCGTGGTATTTTGTGGAAGGGCCACACTCAAGAGGCCAAAGAGCTACATGTGGCTCGCGAACCGAGGTTTGTCGACCACTGGCCTAGACCTAGTATACTGAATCAGGATTATCTTTATCACTACTTTTTACCTCCACATAAGATCCCAGTGGGAAGTCTTCAAGGGCAGTAACAGGAATGGAGCTGTCATCTCCTTTAACAATGCCTGCTTCATCTCCTGAAAGACCTGTCTAAGTTCTTCTCTTTTTAAAAAATATTCTGAATATATATATTTTAATTGATTTTAGAGAGGAAAGAAGGGAGGGAGGGAGGGAGGGAGGGAGGGAAGGAGAGAGAGAGAGAGAGAGAGAGAGAGAGAGAGAGAGAGAGAGAGAGAGAGAGAGAGAGAGAGAGAGAGAAACAACAGTGGTAAGAGTCATTGATGGGCTGCCTCTTGCACACCCCCTCCTGGGAATGGAGCTTGCAACCTGGTTATTTGTCCTAACTGGGAATTAAACCATGACCTCCTGGTTCATAGGTCAACACTCAACCGCTGAGCCATGCCAACCAGGCTGGTTTCTTCTCGTGGAGGTGTCCCTCTTTTCAGAAGTGTATCCATATTTGTTTGCTTAATTTTTTTTTCTTTTTTAAAATCATACGTTCACTTGTAAGGAGCTAATGCACCATAAATATTTCCTCTGTATTAATGAAATAATTTGGTGTTGGAGTCCATATTTTCAAACTTTTGAGGAGCTTGTTGGTCTATAAGAGTTTATGCTAAACCCTTCACTGTGGATTTTCTTTGGGTTTCTTCTGAGATCATTATATATGCATTTAAAAAAATTTTTATTTGGCCAAAACATCATTATGTGGTGCATGACTGTATTAAATGATTGGATAGAAGTAAGCAGGGGAACAACTGGGTTCTTTATACAAGAGACACTCGGTATCATATTACCTATTCACTAAATATCCTGTCGGCCAGGGGTCAGCAAACTTCTTTAAAGTACCAGATAGTAAATATTTTGGCATTTATGGGTCACATGGTGTCTGCTGCACCTACTTAAGCCTGCCATTGTAGCATGAAAGCAGCTATAAAAAATATGAAAATGAATAAGTAGCCATGTTCTAATAAAACCTTATTTATGGAGATTGAAATTTGAATTTCATGTAATTTTCACAGGTCACAAAATATTAGTCTTCTAAAAACTTCAAAAGTTTTAAAACTTTTTTTTAACCTTTTATTTATTTTTTAATAGGAAATTTATTCTTAGATCGTGGTATACCTAATGGGACATTTATGTCCTATGGGATCTAGTTTACTGACCCCTGTTTTAGGCAAATAAATGTCTTATCAGTTATGATGCAGAAAGCTTTGCATTACTGAAATAGTTGTTCTCCAGGACAACACTGTTGGTGAGTGACACTGTCTTGTTTTGTAGGTGACAAAGATGATAAAAATCCGTTCGAGAATTTATTTGTGACATCTGCAGCAGGTTCAGATCTCTCAGCTATAAGACAAACTGGATACCTCCTAAAGATTTTCATCTGTTACGCACAGAGAGCCAAAATCCGTTACTGAAATTGTCTGGGTGAGCTGCCTTCTGGGTCCTTTGATGCACTAGTAGACAAAGAAGTTGAAAAAGAAAGCTACTGGATGACTGGCAGAATGTGACACCAATATGGCATCAAGAAGCCCTACTATGAGTCCAAGGATTTTGACTATGACTAAATAAAATTGACCTTTTTTTTTTGTTTTTTTTTTGTGGGGTGGGGGTAGTTGAAGTAAATTTGATATTTATTTGGGAAATGTGTAATGTATTCTCATTCCATAGTGATACATGGTAATTGCTTTGGTAATCAATCTTTAAAGTTATGGAAGTTATGTAGTTATACTTTTTATTATTGGATTCTCTTACCACAAAGCAAATACTCTAAAGACAAACATTTGCTTAACCTAAAAATGTTAACCAAAAAAGATTGATTTAAGGTCTATGATTTTCACATAGAAATTTTTACTTAGGGCATTTTATTTATAAAAAGTTACTGTACCCAGAACTTTCTAGGAAAACATCCTTTTCTGTAGTTTCTTGAAAGTCAGTAGGAAAACATACTGTATAGTATTAATATAGAACAGTTAATAAATTAATAACTTCATTAAAAATAAACTAATAACTTCAGATCTATTAACTAAATTTACTTAAAATGATTTAATGAGTGAGTGTGAACTGGAAATAAACTTATGTATGTAGTAAAATTATTGAATCACAAGAAAACTGGAACATCAAAGTATTCTCTAAACCATATCAGTATTTTATTTGGTTAGAGTCCCTGCTTTTGGCATCCATCTATCTACTTAGATCACTTATAGAGGATTTGAAAACAGTTCTGGGAAATGAGGTAGATTTTCTCAAAGTTGATTCCCATTTTTTCTTCTTAGTGTTTAAGAAAAAACTCGGGCCAGGATAAAAACATAGGTTACACTTTATATAGTTCGTACAGTTTATTTAAAAACAGGAAAAAATTCCCTCATGACTTACCTTGAAATCTTTATTCAAGGCCTGTACCACTCAATTTGCCAGTGTATCCTGCACTACAGCATGCTTTGGTCAGAATGCAGTGCAACTAACATAGCCATCCTGCCAGGAAAAGATTTGCCGGTTGCTGAAGAGTGGAAGTTATACATATCTAATTTACAAGTCAGATTAGAGATCGGAATCATACAATAGCTTTATATGGAATTGATTTCATTTCTTGGTTTTAAGCTGTGTTTTTCATGAAGCAATGCCTTTAACTAAAAGACAGGTATGTTGTAGTATTTGAATGCCTTAAATTCTTTTAAATCTGAAATATAGAAATGTTTAGATCCTAAAACTCAGGGATTTTGAAATGAAATGCTCTGTCACTCATTGATTGTGCCATTATTGAACTGCCGAGCAGATTTTTATTTGGGGTTATTGTGATTAATATTTGGAAAACTTTACCATTTTCAAATATAAATTATTTTAGGAAAGACTGTGTGTGTGCGAGTGTGTTCTTAATTGAAGCAGCAAACACCATTTTACCTTATAAATAGGCTTTATTTAGTAAGAAATATATGTATTTATCATTGATAGGCATTTAAACCAGGAATTATGTTGTGGTTTTCTGGGGAGAGGACATAAAATAGAGTACTTTATAGTTTTCCACTATTATTTTTTCTTAAAGTAAACCTTCAAAAAATATTGCATAAAGAAGAATGCATAAATATAACAATAGGTTTCAGGTATTTTTACTTTTCTTGTTCTTACTGAAATTGGGAAGACATAAAAATGGATATGAAAAACTATTTCCCTGCAGCAAGGAAGTGCTGTTTATTGGAATTTGAAAACAGTTGCAGAAAAGCTTCTGAGTTAATTTTTTAGGTAGGTCTTGAGCCAATAATTGATTTGAGTATAACCAGGAGAAGAAAATACAGGTGTTTCAAACTAGGTTTATATCAGTAGTCAAAACATTTAGTGTTATCCTTTCTCATTCCCACCACGTGGTATGGTCTCATTAATTTATTTCTAAGTATGATAAATCATTGGGATTTAGAGAGTATCTTGACAATTCAACAGTTACATCTTTTTGTCCACTATCTTTTACATAGGACTAGTTTAGTTTTATTTATAGGACATGAGAAAGGTAGTGATCCTGACTTTTATGGAACGACTTTGAATAAAGATTAATGTAAAGTAAGGATGTAGTAGGAATGCTTTACTGTGTTTATGTTAATAAAGCAGTGACAGTTTAGGTGGTTCCTTCCTTTGCTGCCTTTCTCCTTTACTTTACTTCATAACCACTGGTTAAAGCTCCTTTTCCTTAGAGCGAGGGGGAAGTAATTTTGTGAATGGAGAAAGTGAGTGGAATGTAAAAGGGAAAGGAGGATTATAAATGTGATGGGCAATACGAAAATAGATGAGCACTCATTTTGAATTGATAAGGGTGCTAAAGTGAGGATATCATTGGAATACAGTGGTTTATTATTACTAAGTGCTTATTTATTGAAAGCATCCTATATACTAGACATTGTGTAAATTACTTCTAACTCTTCCCACACCTTGAAAGCTGATAAAGTTATCCCAATTTCCTGATGAAACTAGAAGCTAAGTGGCATACCCAAGGTTTCAGAGGAACAAGATAGCCTTATAGCTTGTGGCTGATTTTTATGCAGTGACCGTTACTCTCCAGTGATTGATAAATGAATGAATAAATAAAAATTGTGAAAGACCAGTATACATTATGGGAAAATTTTAAGACTAATGGCTTTTAATATGAATGACTTCATGTTGGTATTATAGAAAGATGTTGGGCCTATTGATATATTTGCGATTATTATATCTAAACTCTAGAATTCTCCCACTGTCTTTTGTATTGCCTTTGATATTAGTTAATATAGTATTTCATAGGTGTATTTTCAAATATAATTGATGCCATCATACAATAGTATTACAGGAAGGGTCTGTGATAATGAGCTACAACAGCAACTAATATGCAGTAGATCAAGAGCTGAATTGGATTCAGCTCCAAACATCATATTTAGAAGAAGTTCTTGAAAGCAGTCTAAAACAGCCAAAGGAGACTACCTAAGAATTTGATGTACAGGAATAATAATGGTGGATAATGGTGTCATGAAGCCCATTAAAATGAGAACTGAATGTTTACAGGCGTTTACAAGCAGATAAGTATAGCCCTGAACAAAAGATCATCCCCTTAAAAAGGATACATTCAATCACATGTTGATTCAGTGGATAGAGCGACAGTCTGCACACTGAAGGATCTTGGGTTCGATTCTGGTAAAGGGCACATGCCTGGGTTGTGGGCTTGATCCCCAGAAAGGGGCATGCAGGAGGTAGTTGATTGATGCTTCTCTCTCATCTCTTTTGAGTTTCTAACTCTCACTCTCTTTTCCTCTCAGTAAAAATAAAATATATTAAAAAAGAAACCCACAAAAAAGCAGTGTGGTATAGTAGCCTAAATGTGAACAGCATCTTAGGAATATTGGGACAAAGACAGGGACACAATAACTGAAATTATTTCATACAACATGTTAGAAAAAATGTTAATTGCTTGAAAATATAGAAAAAAAAATTAGCAAATAGGTTATAGGCAAACAAGGCAGTTGGACAAAGAGTAAGAAGTAAGGAGGGTTATTCAAGAGTGAAGTGGTTGTGCGATATTCCTAGATAGAATTTTACTCAAAAAAGGAGAAAACCTGGGAAGAGAAATCAGGAAAAGTGATTTAGAAATAGGTAGCACTGAAAGAGGGTAGTAAGCTCCTCAAAGATGGCTAGTAGGCAGAAAAAATATTGAAATGAAGTTGTATTCATATTTTATGGTAATCAAAAGTAACCACCTGTTTTAGAAAAGACAGGCTGGTTATTATTCCTGTTCATTCTGTGAACTATTTCTGTTCATTTTATTTTACTATAGGCTATTTTTCAATATTTTATCCTTGTATTCTTGTGACATTGGGTAAACACTTTGGACTTGGGCTTGTGTTTTAGAATATGGTTTAGCTTATTTTAAGGATTTTTTTTTAATGATTGTTACCAATATATATTCAGCTTTTGGCAAGAAATTATACTTTGTGTTAATTGGGTATCCATGATATTCAGGAAGAAGATATCAAATGAGATTTTTAAAAAATAGATATTTTTATCGATTTTAGTGAGGAAGGAAGAGAGAGAGAGAGAGATAGTAACATCAATGATGAGAGAGAATCATTGATTGGCTGCCTCCTGCATGCCCCTCACTGGGGATTGAGCCCACAACCCAGGCATGTGTCCTTAACCGGGAATCAAACCATGATCTCCTTGTTCATAGGTCAATGCTCAACCACTAAGTCACACCAGTGGGGCAGATTTAAATCAGTTTTATTGGTTGTAATTTATATATTAAAAATCCAGTTAATAAATTTTGACATGTGTGTAGATCCATCTAACTATTCACATTCAAGAAATTTAATATTTTAACACTCCTAAAAGTTCCCTATGTCTCTTTTCAATTAGTCCTTCCCCCTCCTCCCCATAGACAACTACTGTTCTGATTTCTATTCTTGATTTAGCTTGTTCTTGAACTTTATCTACATGGAATCATTAGAGTATTACTATTTTGTACCTGGCTTCTTTTCCTCCACATAATGGTTTTGAGATATTTTCATGTTATTGTGTGTATTAGTGGTTCATTCTGTTTTGTTATTGAGTAGTGTTCTATTTTATCACAATTTGTATATCCGTTAGTCTGTAATGGATATTTTATTTTATTGGCAGTTGTGAATAAAGCTGCTACAAACAGAAATTTTGTATGTCTTTTTGTGGGCATGTTTTAATATATCTGGGTTAAGTACCTAGGAATGGAATTGTTCTCTCATAGGATTGGTGTACAATTGAAACATTAGAAGTTTACAAATTCCAAAGTGATTGTACCATTCATACCATGTATTTTTAGTGTAAGTCTGTAAATCTACAGTTTGTACTAGGGATAGATATTGGTATGTACTAAATGGTTTTTCTTTAGAGAGATAGCTTTTATGAGTATTTTTCATCTAATAACTGAAATCTAGTAGTTTTATGATACATCTATTTTCAAAAAATTATAGAGGTTATAACGTATAACTTCTATACATACAGGTTCTCCTCTCCTCCCCTCCTCCCCCTTTACCCCATTCCCCAACTGAGTTCCTATGAAACCTTTTGTAAGCCGGAAATGAAGTGAAGAAGCAATTGCTATTAATTTAAAAGGGATAATCCTCTTTGGATTTCTTTTTTTTGAAATATGTTTTTATGGATTTAAGAGAGAAAGTGAGAGGGAGAGAGAAACCTCCATGAGAGGGAATCATCAATTGGCTGTCTCCTGCACATCTACTGGGGATCGAGCCTGCATCCCAGGTATGTGCCCTGATCAGGAATGGAACTTGCAACCTCCTGGTGCATGGGATGCTCAGACCAACTGAGCCACACCAGCAGGGCTGGATTCCTTTTGGTTAGTGAAATACCATTTTTCGGACCATAAGACGCTCCGGACCATAAGACGCACCAGTTTTTAGAGAAGGGAAATGAAGAAAAAAAGATTCTGAAACAAATAGTATCCTAAAATATTTTATGTGCATTAAAACCCAACATCACAGTCATAAACACATGTAATCAACCCTGTAAAGTAAACAGCAGCATTTAGAACCATTTTAGAGCCGGCAAGCACACAGAGACCACACAGAGCCGGGCAAGTAAAAAAACTTTTTTTAAAAAGTATATGTGTAGGCTATATTTGGACCATAAGACGCAGGGACTTTCCCCCCCCCCCCACTTCTGGGGGGAAAAAAGTGCGTCTTATGGTCCGAAAAATACGGTAGGTACTAATAAAGGTAGTTTGTAAAGTGAAGTGGTGGCATAGGCAAACTTCCAAATAAGGGCGTACTTGTATTCAATTATTGACTTGGTTTGTTGTACAGAATTTTTTTTAGTCTTCATCTGAGGACATGTTTTTATTTTTATTGAATATCTGTACAGAGAGAGGGGAAGGGAGAGAGAAAAACATGGATTGGTTGACTCCCATGCATACTCCCACCAGGGATTGAACTCAAACCATGGGCATGTGATCTGGCCAGGAATTGAACCTCGAAACCTCTTATTACACAGGACCATGCTCTAACTGAGCCACCTAGTCAGAGTGTTATACAGAATTTTTAATTTTTATTTTATTTTTTAGATAGTATATGCTTTGATCTGAATCTTAAAAGTGGGCATTCTTCATTTTATGCAGTGGCTCTTTATTAAGTGTATATATAATTAAATGAGTTGTTTAAATATGAATAATATACCAATCTACTAAGGTAAAATTTGTTTGATCAAATGTGAAATCTCCTTTTTTCCTTTTTCTTGATCTATTCAGTAGCTCCCCATTCCTTTTTTATTTTATTATAAATCTATTTGCAAAATATTTAAATGAAAACTTTAATAAAATATTAATGATTTAAATAAGGAGCTCTTAAAATGAAGAGTCCTTTATAATATAAGCAGTAGATGTAACTTAGGAGAATCACATCTAAGATAATAGGATGAAGACTGGGACTCATTTGTTTCAGGATTTCAGCTTAAGTTCAAAAGCTGAAAAGGTTAATAAATATTCTAAAAAGAGATGTGGGGCTTAATAAAAAAGCAAACCGGAATTGCAGCACCCAATTCCTACATATAAAAAAAAAAAATAAATTTGAAAAGGGTATTGTATCATTTATGTGAAGAACTATTAATTATTCGGTAGATAATTATTTAACTTTATCTTTAAAGGGACCTTTTGTTCCCAAACCAGGATTTGGGTATGACCTTCAGAAATGTAGATTGGTATTTAATTTCTTGCCTGGATGTTTAATGAGCTACATCGTCTTATTTCTTGCTACCTTCCAGAGTCCTTAAGTGTATGACAAACATTTCCTAGAGTTTGGGGCATTCCTGAACATAGACTTGTTTCTGGAGGGGAGAAGAGTGACTGGAGCCAGTGAGATGGCCTGTGGAAAGAGAGGGCAGTAATGAAGAGAGGTGGTATTGGCCCATCTGTAGGACCACAAGGGAAGTGCCCAGGCTTGAGTTCTCTTAGTGGATCCTGCCAAGGACGGGGACTGGATCAGGTAGTATGAGGTCAGTCTGAGAATGTACCTCTCACACCAGGGAACTGGTGGAGGGACCAGCCTTTTTGCCTAATTCAGGGTCACCTTGCCATGAAGACCTGAAATGTACTGTCCAAACTGGGCTCCTTTGAGAATGGGAGAAGGCACTTTCAATAATTACCGCAGGATAACAGATCATCCTGCTTCCTGGTCCCCTACTAAAAGCCCGTGGAACTAGCACACAGGACATTTGTCCCTTCCTATCCTGATTCAGAAAAACTAGAAAGTGAAGGAGGAAGTGGAGAAAGGTGAAAGAGTCAAGAATAATATTGAAAAATAACCCCCCCCCAAAAAAAACATACCACAAAACAAAAACAAAAACCCTAAATTCCAAACCCAAGTATGTACATTCTCTTTGCTGGCCTATGTTGAGGTGAGGGTACGTAGATATTCTTTGAATAAGATATGAAATTGAAGGTTTAAATTGGATTAGACTATATTTTACAGTACTTGAAAGTAACTGAGAAGTAATAGGAATTATCTGGGGTGTTATGGAGAGACGGGGAGTGAGATCTGAAAAGAGTCTAAAGTTATGAAAGGAAATGAAGACCTATTCCACTGATTTCATCTATTTGAACATTTTCTTAGTTTAATAAGTTTAGTTGAACAAACCTTTAGTGAACACCTACACCCTGATATGTAAAGTACCATGTTAGTTAGGCATTTTAGGGAAGGCAGAGATGACTAAGATTTTCTGTTCTCAAGGAACTTCTGCTTTAGCATAGTTAGCTCAACTTAACCCATGGCAAAATGACATAGATGCTTTAGACATGTACGTGGCAATGCTGTGGGCATGTGGCACAAACCACAGGGGTTCAGGGCAGGCTTGTGGAAGAGGCCGAGTTTGAGCTGTCTTGACAGAAGAGAGGATATCAGCTGGGAAGAAAGGCATTCTATAATAGCATGAGGAGATACTCCAGGCCAGGGACTGGGAATGAGTAGACTGCAGGGGAGAAGTAATGCTGATCCACACTACAATATTTTGCTGTAATAGTTTCCACCATCAGTTAAGCTTGCCCATTGTAACAATATTGGTTGAAGTTTGATAATTTTTGTATTTCTTCCATAATGCACAAAGTGCCTTCCTTGATGAGATGTGGGGTGGAAATGTTATTCACTTTAGAAACTAGATGGTTATGAGCATCAAAACCAAACTTTTAAGTCTAATCACAAAGTCTATTACATCCCTTGATTTAAAACAGTAAAATGTAGAGAAGATGATAATTTTCACATGCAATCCTAAGAAGCATTTGGCAGTGCAATTAGTTTCATAACAAGTGATTGTTTTTTAAAGCCTTCCCAGAGTAAGAAAGAGTGTCTTGATGCTAGTGTCACTTTTAAATAGCTGTAGCTCCAGGAATGTGTCTGTTCACATTGTTATCTTAAATATACACCTTATCTATCCCTATTGCTGTACTTCAGATGTGAAAGTAAAAATAAAGGTGTGAAGTGCCTCACAGACTTGTAAGGATGGATATTATATAAATTAGAAAAAGCAAATAGTCCATTAGTGCTGAGGCCCTAATGTATAATGTTTTCTAAAAGTTTTACACACACACACACACACACACACACACACACACACCCCATTGGACCCAGTGATTTACTTTGCAAAAAATTAAAAACCTTTGTAAGAGGTTTTTCCCCCCTCTGAACTCCAGATATATACAGTTGTTTTGTGATACCCCATATGGATATTTAAACTTAACAAATCTTTTTACTCAAACGTGTTTCATCTGTAATCTTCTTCATCTAAGTTAATGACAAGTTACTCAGACCAAAAACCTTGGAGTCCTTGACTCATTTCTCTCACATCCACACCTCCTGTCAGTAAATCATGTTGGCTTTATCATTAAAATATATCTAGAATGTGGCCGACCACCTCTCATCACCTCCACTGCTACCTGGTCCAACCTATTAGCATGCCTTGGATTGCCCTTTGACTGGCCTCCTTGCTTCCTCTACCAGTACTCGCCTCCTATCCTAGCAGTTTAGTCTAACTTCAGCGCAGTAGCTAAAATCACCACAGTTAAAACATACATAAAGTCCTGTCATTCTTTATTTCAAAACTTCATTTATTTTCTTTCTCACATTAAGAGCTAACTTACAATAGTAGTAGTTGGTAAGGCTCTAGGTCAGCGTTTTTCAACCGCTGTTCCGCGGCACACTAGATGTTGCCTGGTGTGCCGTAGGTGCAGACAAGACAAGAATTTTATAATTTTTCACTATTTTGTTTACTTAATATTTCATAATAAAGTAATTATAAAATACTTTCTTTGTGTTTATTTGATTCCTATTCAAGAGAATTACTTTATATATAGTCAATATAGGCACAGAGTTAAATTTTTTAACATTTTCTAATGGTGGTGTGCCTCGTGATTTTTTTCATGAAACAAGTGTGCCTTTGCCCAAAAAAGGTTGAAAAACACTGCTCTAGGTGATATTGCCCTATCTGCAGCCTCATCTTTTTCCTTTTTACTACTCTGCATTCACATCTGGAACCACATGGTTCCTCCACTAGTTGGCCTGGGGGCCTTGGCACTTGTACTTCCCTTTGCCTGGAATGCTCTTCCCCAGATAACCAACTACTTAGATTATTCCCTAACCCTTCTGGGATCTTTATTGAAGTGTTAC